TGATTCCGAGCTCTTCCCCCATGCCGCCTTGCATTGGACAGCACAACAATTCTGATGCCCTTGGACTAGGGCGCCCGTCGTCCCCTGGCTGTCACTCCCCAGGTGTCAAGTGTCCTCGCCCAATCGGTGCTTGCATAATACGTTGCTGTTCATAATTCCGATAATTCAAAGGCATGGCCTCGGCAGACTCGAGGGTTGGCGGCCAGGGTGCCTGCACCACCTCGACCGATCCTCCTCTGGATCAGCCTCCTCCGCTGTCTCGCTCGATTCCAACACCAAAGGAAACGACATCTCCCAACTCTCATGCCCGCTCTCTCGCGCTCCCGGTCCCCTTTGTCAGCGCCAACGTTCCCCCTGCCAGCGCCGACGCTGCCGACACTGCCGTCACCACCGCTGCTGCTACCACCACCACTACCGCCACCTCAACCACCAATAGTAGTACCGCTCCTGCAAACACGGCCGCCGCACCAGGAGCCGCCGGTCCTGCGCCCGAAATCGAGCAGAACGGCGGCAGCAAGACTTCAGAGGGCGAGACGGAGATGTCGGGCCACCACCAGCCGCCCGGAAGCAGCCCTCGTGGCCCCGCGAGCTACCCCGCGGCGCCTTCATTGTCCTCGTCCGCAGCAGCAGCGTCCTATCCCCATCCGCCTCAAAATCACTACGCGCCTTACAACAACCACCAGCACTCCGCGCCCCCGCCGTCCTCCGATGCTGCCTACCGAGCCAGCCCTGCCGCCAGCAACTCCATGACACTCCCAAGCATGCGAACGATCGATTCGATGACACAGTCGGCCTCCCACTCCGCAGGCCCAAGCCTGAGCCTGAGCGCACCGATACCTACTGGTTCCGGGCCCATGTCGTCATTCTATCCAGTCCCTCAGTCGTCGACGCTGGCCTCGAATTACGCCGTCTCACCGGAAACCATGGCTCGTTATGCGGCCATGCCATATAGTCCGAACAACGTGCTGCATCGCGCACCTAAAAAGGTACGAGCTCATTCTTATGCATCGAGAGCTTATGGGGGAAGGCGACGTCGGGAATCTCTTCGCAACTGTTTGAGAGGGGGGGCCGTCTTCGACCTTCTCTCGTAAGGGCCGGGAGGACCGGAGAGCGCAAGAGGAGGGGAAACATGTTTGAAACGAAGTAGTGCCCGGGATGAATCGGATGGAGAAACCACAAGAAAGACTTCATGGACGAGAGAAACTTCACAACTTGAACTAACCTCTTGCCTTTTTTCTTGCTAGGAGATCAAGCGTCGCACGAAAACTGGCTGCTTAACTTGTCGCAAGCGCAGAATAAAGGTGAGCACGCGCGGTTTTCTTATTGTTTCCTTTCTTTTTCCACCAGGCGCCCTACATGGTCCGAAGACGGCACTACTACACTTTTCCTATTTCTCTCCCCTTCTTCCTCTGTCTTGCGCTTCCCTTTACGAATCATGATCAGCAGGAATGGCCCGAATTTTCTGATTGGATTTTTGGCCCTTCTTTCCAGATTGAAGCGGGCAAAACCAGATGCGCACGCGACAACATGGGTGGCACCAATCGTGAATGCGCAGCAGTGCGTAGGAGCCATAATGACATGATTGCGATGCAGGGAGGTCAGGGATTCGAAGCCGGTCAGCCAGTCTTGATCACGAATTGTCCCGAACCCAGGAAGAAGAAAAAAAAAAAACTTCGGCCGACCCGCTTCATTCCCTTCCCATGAGTCCATACCTTCACGACTCCGCTACTGTGCGGCGCAAGTGTGAAGGCTCTCCTGGTGCTGTCTGAGAGGAGGCTTGCACACGTGGTGACGATGCAAGCAATTATGCAATTATGCAGCGTTGCGCGTGGTGGAGAGCAACCACCACATCGCGCGTCGCAGCCGCTCCCGCTTCCGCTCCCCTCCCCCACCATCAGAAAGTGCATTGACTGCGACGGAGCCTCCCAATTGCCTGCCCTGTGGTCGCTGCCCTGCCACTCTACCCCAAGACACATGTCCGCTGCATGCGCCTGCACCTCGTTGCCTGCTTGACCGACTCTCCCTTCCCCTCCTCAGCCTGTTCCCTGCCCGAGCTCGCCTTGATTGCTTCCTGGCATTGCTGGCACGTTTACCCGTTGGAGGTCTGCCGTCCGTGACATCAGCTCGTAATTGGCAGATCCGAACCCGCAGCTAACAGCCTAATTTCCTTATAGTGTGACGAGGGCCACCCGACGTGCAACAATTGCAAGAAGTCAAGGCGCGATTGTCTGGGGTACGACCCTATTTTCCGGCAACAGACTGTGAATCTGGGCAATTCCTACAGCCCGGCTTCATCTTCGGCCACACCTGTTTCAACCCCTCATTCTCAGGTGGCATCTCCCCCGGAACACTCAAGGATACTCCCACCGCCTACATCCCGCCACCAAGGTGCTCCTCATTCTCACATCGGATCAAATTCCTACGGAGCCCAACCAACTTCCAGCTTGAGCAGCTACTCATCTGCATCCTCGAACGGCCCTCTCCCACCGCCGACCAGCTCTTCACCCTACCATAACCCGAACGTCAAGAGTGAGCCCAGCGACAGCAAATCCGGCATCAAGCCCGACCTCAGCCCGGCATTCCATTCTTCCTCCTTGAACGGTTCAGATCACCGGGTTTTGCCTCCACCGAATCCAGGGACAGACGGGTCGAGATCCAGCCACCAACACCTCAGAGGTAAGGCCCATTTTTACTGAGCCTCTCCTCGTAGGATCCACGACTCACCCGGTGTGAAAACAGGAGAGAAGATGAAGATTAATGACATAATCAATTTGCTGGGCCCCCCTCCTCCCGCTCAGCAGGCCAATTCTTCGGAGGAGGAGTTCAACGAAATCACTAGGGTGTATCATGAGATGTATGCTGGGAGTCTGAGTGCCTTTTTCGAAACAGGCTGGTACTATTTCGTGGAAAATGGGCAAATGACTTTCCCCAGGGATCCTGGGTTAATCGAGTGCATGGCGGCGTTTTTGAAGGTCCTACAATCTGTAAAGGCAAATGACCACGTCCAGATGTCTTACTCGGGGGTTCTGGAAACCAGGGTAATCTGGCAGCTGGCCTGCACTGCATCGTGGGCTGCGGCTGACAACACTTCGAATTCGACGCGCACATCGCTACCACCCGATGGTGATGCGGTGGAGGCGAAGAACCGGCTGAAGGTTGTCGAGGCGTTGCTGTGTGGCGACTACCTCGCATCGAACCCTCTTACTCCGCCTTTGCAAGATCGGGATACTGTTCGGATGCGTCAATTCGACTTTTGGCATAAGTTGGGAGAGTTCGTGCGAATCCGAGAGCTCCCAAATGCTCCGCACGCGGTCAAAGATAGGGATGACGTACTGAGCAGGATGCGGCATCTTCTCGACGGTCGAGAGAACCGGGATGTGCTCTACTCTATTGCCGTGGTCAGGGAGCTGGCTCCCCAATTCGACCCCAACTACGCTAGCTCGGTTCCTCAGCATCTCGACGAGACGGACCCGAAGAACCGGCTCGCGGTGGCTTCCAAGTTTATTCTCGACGAGTCACAGGTGACGGGGGGGACTACAAACGTCGTACGGCGGTTCAGTGATATTGCCGCGCGAGCTTTTGTCAACCCCGGAGTGAACGTTGCGAGGTCCGCCCATTGAGAAACCTTTCCTTTCCTTTCACTCTCTCCTACTACCCCTTTGTTTTTCTTTTTTCTCTTTCATTTTTTTTTCTCATTTTAGAAAAGGAGCCAAAAGCCACAAGGCATTGTATCTGCTCTATTGGGCTTTTGACTTGATTTTCAAAGTCGGGATTGCGCACACGCCTTCCATCATCGGATGGCACATGGACAACAATTTGATATGGCAAGCATAGAAGGGAGAGCGAAAAAGCTTTGTGCTATATTACGATGGGAGATTACTAGACCTCCTTTCAAGGCGTTTTTTTTTACACATGGTGGGATGTTTCTGCAGGTTTTCACTTATCCACCAGGGGATTTTCTTTACAGTCGATTCGGGTTAGACATGCATGGATCGACACACCAGGGTTCTCTTTCACAACAAGGCGTAACTCTTGACTTTACCAAATACATAAGTACATATGTATGCAGTCAAATAATTTCAGGTTTTGCAAGGAGACACGAGGCGAAGAGCGTGCTCCTTGCGAGCATAGGGGGTTGGACAAACGCAGCGGGACAGCATATAAGGGAGGGAGAAAATGTGTGAGGACTGCGTGCTAGGCTCTTTGGTGGTGGATAAATGTGGTAAAATAGTAGGTATGTTGTTGGTATGAATGAGAGACGGGTTTATTGTCTTCACAGGCAAATAAGACGAATTATTGTCTGTGGCCAACCCGATGAATCGTGACTGGGTGAAGAGCCAAGGCAAAGAAAGTGATTTCTTCACCCAACCCCTTTGCAGTGCAACGACGCCCAAGCAGATGGTCCATCGCGTTGCTTCTCGAATCAAACCAGGACATTCAGCTTTGTCCCTCGACTCGATCGGCCCAGTGGTTGTGTGGCCTCCCAAATAAATGTACGAGATGATGATGAGCTAGGACAAATAATGCCGCCCAGGTGACGCGGTCAGAGAGCACCTACTGATCTGATGGACAGACCCCAAAAGCGGTGACACTGAATCACGATCGCTCCCATCCGCGAGCACGACAAGATCGGAGTTGGATGCTGCCGCAGTTCTGAGTCAAGTCCAAGATCATCTATCAAAGGAAGGAGGCAAGCCCTCCCAGGCTTCGCATTCCCTCTTCTCCCACCCATTACTGTTTGAGTTGTTGAGAATTTACGGCATATCCTGTTGGAAGACGAGTCGCCATGCAGCCAGCATAGCAGCAATACAGATTATCGACCAATATTCGACCAGCATTTTTATTAACCCACGACTCCCTTTCGCCAAGAGGAAGAGGGAGAGAAGACTACGGAAGGAAAGGAAGAAAAAAAATCTATTAACTTATTCTCAATGTGTGAAACTCGGGCTGTTTTCTGTCGCAACCGGGGCTGTTACAACACCGTCGGCGAATTGGTCCTGATGCCATGCGAGGAGGCGACAAGATCGACGGACTTATCGACGAGGACCACCGCCCTAAAACACGATACATCGTCGAGTAGCGCCTGCGGATCGGAAGAGGCCGAAACGAATGGGGAAGAGGAGTGGCTCGCGGAGGCTCGACCGTACCTCTTTGGCTGTGGATACAAGGAATTTACGGAACGGCACCGGTGCGGGTATCGGGTCTGCAACGACTGTTTCCAGCAGCAGATGATGACGTACATCCTGGAGCTTGTGGAGAATGGGATAAGGAGCGAGGACGGGGAGCCGTCGCTGCTTGCCAGAAGGCAGCATCTCAGCTTGCTGAGGCAGGCTGGCAAACCTCGGTATGGAGATCTCGGGGAAGATTGGCAAACGCCAGGTGAGGTGTGCGCACAAGATCCGACATGGCCAGGCTACCCTGCCCCGCTGAACGATGGCATGGTCAAGGTTGAAGACCCGGAACTCCTTGTCAACCCAGCTCCCGTGGCTTATCGAGCGGCTCCCGGGATGATGGACGATATCTACGATGGTCCGTTTGTCGACGGTGGTCAATTTGAGCCTGCCCCAACCCAACTACTGCAGCAACAGCAAGTTTTGTATCCGGGCCAGGCTGAACCGTATCTTTACCAAAACCCAGGGCCGAGTTTTCAACCAACTGGCTTGGAGGATCCTGGCATGTTCGCCATAGACCCTCAGCTACTTGATTGGCAGCAGAGCGAGCCTCAACTGTTAGAATTTTTTATGCAGCCGGCCCCGGCGCCTATCGAAGCAGCACCAACCGGGGACCCGGGTCCATGTGTAGAAGATGTGAGAGACACTGCGAGTGCGGATTTCCTGAATTGGGAGGCCAGTGTTGAAGCCCAGGCAGGTGGGCATGACCCGGCGTTTACACACCTGCTTGAGGAGGCCGTCAGCGGCGGGGATGTGGGGAGTCATATGTGGAATCAAGATGTGGTTTGGGGCGCAAGCGGATATTATTCATGAGGCATGGCATTAAGGATTGTTTGTATAGACTTTTGATGGTGTGTGGGATCGGCGGGACAAGGAGTGAAAACAAGTTCAAACAAGTAGAGGTAGCAGCGGGATCGAGTCTCATCGCAATGCAATTGTGGTTTGTCAAAAACGAGCCGACAAACTCGGAGGATCTTTTTGTGTTTTCGATGTATTCCCACGGCTGCTTATCTCGGAACTTAATTGCCTTTTCCCCTGCACCGGCCATGTGAGCCAGCTTTAGCCGTGTAGTGACGTGGATGAGTCATTCCTGGATAGGATGGTGTAACAAGCCAGCCTTGTTGACTCACAACATGGACGATACACGATATAACACCATCACGGCAATTCCCTTTTTCCAGTTGGGCTCTACACTAATGATTGTTACTAGAAGCTATTCGTTTCCTTCTATTTGGGCTAAACCAGTCTAAATCTAACAAGTTGTAAATTTCAATTTCGCGACACCATTTCTCAATATGGCCATCCGCGCCTTGATATCACCTTCGCCTCCAAGCGCAGAGCCCGGTACAATCCTCCTTGAGACCGAGAGGCTCCTCATACGCCGCTACATGCTGAGCGACGCTCCTGCGCTGGCCGAGATCGCCAACGACCCGCAAGTGGCCGCAGTGATGAGCGACAGGTTCCCCAGCCCATACACAGTCGAGGACGCGGAAACCTTCATAAAGGACCTGAACCCCCAGCACGACCCGTCCTCGCCGCCAGAGTACCCCACCACGTCCGGCGTCTTCCTAAAGGTTGCCCCGGCGGAGGGCCACCATCACACGCCAGCGGGCGACGGGCTCGTCCTCATCGGCTCCCTGGGCGTGAGGCCCAGGGCCGACGTCTTCTACCGCAGCTGGGAGATTGGCTACTTCCTCGGCCGGCTGTTCTGGGGGAAGGGGTACGGCACCGAGGCGGTGTCGGCGTGGGCGCGGTGGATGCTCGAGACGTGGCCCGAGCTGCTGCGGATCGAGGCCGGTCGGTACAGCACCAACCTCAGGAGCGGCCGGGTCCTGGAGAAGAGCGGGTTTGTGTTTGAGGGGATCAAGAGGAGTGCTGTTGTGAAGGATGGCGTGGTGCTGGATGAGGTGGTGTATGGGTTGCTGCGGAGCGATGTTGAAAAGGAATCGACTTGAGGTGGTGTTGGCCACTGTTTCTTGTGCTAGAGTGTAGACTTTGCTGTAGTATACCAACTCGGCTCTTATGGACTTGAGCAGATAGATGGGTTTTCCTTAATGAAACGATACTTGTCCCTATTAAGTTGCGGGCGAAGAGAGATGCCCATGCGTCCTATTGGGTGTTTTGATATGGTGGTGGGAGGGCAGGCTGCTCGCTGATGGGCATAACGAGTTCCTGATGTATTCGGACCTCGAGGATGACCAGATCAATTTTGAAAACCTGCATTTCGACCGTGAGAGGGACACTGCCCCTGTGGGTGGGGAGACACCTGGAATTGAAGCACACACTGCGCAGGCCGTCGTGCCTCCAGTTGCGGTTCGGGCACTGGAAGACTCTGGCCTTGGACTCGTCAATCTTAAGAATCTTGAACGTCCTGCCTGCCGCCCTGACCATCTCGTCGAGGTGGGCCAGCTGCTGCTCGCCGTGCAGGGTGACGGACCGTGGCGAGGTCTTGGTCGACACGGCGTCGAGGTACGCCCTGGCGAGGATCCAATTGGCCAGTCTCTCGATCTGGTAGAACTCGGCCTGGTGCTGGAGGGCGTGGTACAGCGGCATGTCGTGGCCCCTTTCTACGTCATGGAACAGAGGGAAGATGCCGGTCCGCAGGTAGCGGAGGATGTGCTCGAACAGAGCGGGATCGGCGTCCACGAAGAAGGGTTTCTCGGGGTCAGGGTCCCGGAGATTGACGAGGGAGCTGAGGACGGAGCTTTCGGCGATTGTTTGCCTGGTTGTGTAGAACTTCTTCTCGCCGATCTGGAGAACAATTGGCTCGATGGGACGGGGCCCCGCGTCGACGGATGCACTGGCCACTGATGACATGTTTTGTAATTGCAATTGAATATATATATGAGGATCAGCCCTGTTGGTTTATATACCGGGAACTCGTCTATAGTGACCAAGAATATCCAATGGCTGTTGGCACGGGTATATCTGTTTGAAGTTACACGAGACCAAAAGACGCGAAACGAGTATAGCCAGAGAACCAATCGATGGTGGAAGCTTAGAATCCTGAATGGAAGAGAGAAAGAATAAATCGAGAACAACCAGCAAGCCGAATATGTGCTATCATTCTATATAAATATGTGGTGTCTACAGAAATAGCATACCCATGTCAAAAGGATCACCTAACGCCTACAAAAGAGCCCATTTGTTAATAAGGCCATTGCCCAAGTTACATCACACGCTGACGCAGGGGCCATTCAAGGCTGATTTGATTGACGCCCGATCATCTGCCACGCTTACATCCTAGGATCCCATAAATGTCGTTAGATCTGCTTATACGCGCAGGGCGGTTTGACTCAGTGTGATGACGGATGCTGGGGTAGCTGCTCGTAATTAGGGTGCTGATGGCCGGAGTGAAGCGAGTGTTAAAGTGTTTCTGGAGTCATGACCAAGTGATTCTGTTGATTGTTCTCGGTACCTGATGAGCGTTTATGGAGAGGTATCGGGGGTTACTGCAACGGGAATACTGCGTGCGCCTCTCTGCATCTCCACACCCACCGGTATCAATCGGTACCTGCGCCACGGAGCTCTCCAGGTACTGCGCCGGGAGCTACCACATGCCCGGGCGGGTGGCCGAAGGAATAATACCCGCACCATGATTGGCCAGACGGCGCGAAAACAAAAATCCGAGCCCACCACACTTCTATCCTGAGCTTTGGTTTGCACGGCAAGCTGAGGAATCTGGACAAGCGGATGACGAGCACGGCCATCAAGTCGACCAAACCCACCGCCGTTGTGCCATTGACTGAACCCCGTGCAAGAGGCTCTAACGGGAGACCACCCTCTTGCCTTCGACTGGCCATTGGCACGCTCTCCGCTCTATCCTCCTAACCGCCCGCAATGGTCTATCTACACAGACTCGCCAGCCAGGGTGCCAGACGGCTGTGTCTGCGCCCGGCCACATTGGCCACCCGCCCCTTCTCGACGACATGCCTGCGAAGATATGCTGCTCCTGAGCCCGTGGGAACCAAGATCATTCCCGTCGACGACGATTTCGCGCACCCTTCAGACCCCTACGGCGCGACCCGACTAATTCCTGGTGCCACCGAAAAGTCGCGCGAGAACTCGGTCGAGGACCGCAAGGTCCGCCACTACACCGTCAACTTCGGACCTCAACATCCTGCCGCCCACGGTGTGCTCCGCCTTATCCTCGAACTCAATGGCGAGGAAATCGTCCGAGCCGACCCCCACGTCGGCCTGCTTCACCGCGGTACCGAGAAGTTGATCGAGTACAAGACCTACCTCCAGGCTCTCCCCTACTTCGACCGTCTGGACTACGTTTCCATGATGACCAACGAGCAGTGCTTCGCTCTCGCCGTTGAGAAGCTGCTGAACGTCGAGATTCCCGAGCGTGCCAAGTTTATCCGAACTCTGTTCGGTGAGCTCACCCGTGTCCTCAACCATCTCATGTCCGTCCTTTCCCACGCTATGGATGTCGGTGCCCTGACGCCTTTCCTGTGGGGTTTCGAGGAGCGAGAGAAGCTTATGGTGAGTCCTTTCAGAAGAAAAAAGAAAAGCAGGACGGCCAGTTTTGGTGGTCAATTGGGAGAAACTGCTTCCATGATAGATGTTTGGATGTGTGGAGTCGTTCGCTGACGAGGAGACAAATTGTTTAGGAATTCTATGAGCGTGTCTCTGGTGCCCGTCTGCACGCTGCTTACGTTCGCCCAGGTGGTGTTCACCAGGATATTCCCGTCGGTCTTCTCGATGACATCTATCAATGGGCTACCCAGTTCGGTGACCGCATTGATGAGACGGAAGAGATGTTGACTGACAACCGAATCTGGATTGAGCGTCTCCGTGGTGTTGGTGTAGTTACCGCCGCTGATGCCCTGAACCTGTCCTTCTCTGGTCCCATGCTCCGCGGTTCCGGTATCCCCTGGGATATCCGCAAGAGCCAGCCTTACGATGCCTACGACCAGGTTGAGTTCGATGTTCCCGTTGGTACCAACGGTGACTGCTACGATCGTTACCTGGTCCGTATGGAGGAGTTCCGTCAGTCCCTCCGAATCATCCACCAGTGCCTGAACAAGATGCCTGCTGGTCCCGTCCGCGTCGAGGACTACAAGGTCTCCCCCCCTCCCCGCACCGCCATGAAGGAGAACATGGAGGCTCTCATCCACCACTTCCTTCTCTACACCAAGGGCTACGCCGTTCCCCCCGGCGACACCTACTCCGCCATTGAGGCCCCCAAGGGAGAGATGGGTGTCTACCTTGTCAGTGACGGCAGCGAGCGCCCATACAGATGCCACATTCGTGCCCCTGGTTTCGCTCACCTGGGTGGTTTCGACCACGTCTCAAAGGGTCACTTGCTGGCCGATGCTGTGGCGGTAATTGGTACCATGGATCTGGTGTTCGGTAAGTTTTTGCTACCTCTCTTCGACCTCTTCTTGGGCAGTCATGACTAACTCTTTTGCAGGTGAGGTCGACAGGTAAAGTGGATGTCGAAGCAGTAAACTAGAAATGGGTTTCCTTTTGTGTGTTTTGTAACCATAGCAAGACTAGGAGAACAAGGTATATACTCCTAAAAAATGACGTTTTGCCATCCAATCTTGCTATTGTTTTACTCAGAGAAAGGCAAAGTGAACGTGAGCTACGGCCAAGTACTGTCAAGATAACTACCTGTATGTCATTGGTAGAAAAATGTACAATTCCTGTAAATGAATTAGATGCAGTTATATCCTGGTAAGTATACACTGATGCTACATGTCATAACTAATAATACAGCCCCCCCCCTGGATTAGAGAAGTTTTGCACCCTTGCCCGAGGCTTGCTCCATGAAGAAGTTCTTCAGAGGTCCGAGGGCATTCACAGCCCTCAACCCGAGAGATCGCAACGGCACAATGGGGCCGCTGTCAGTCCCGTAGATTTTGTGCAGCTTGTCGCAGACTCCCATGAGCACGTGGTTGGCGGCGTAGCGGTCGGAGTTGTATGACTCGAGCCACATCTGGGTGCCGAGGTCCTGCCCGTGCGATACGGCGTAGGCGATGGTGTTGGCGAGGCTCTGCACATCGCCCTGACCTTGGTTGAGACCCTGGCCGGCCAGTGGGTGCACGGCGTGGGCAGCATCGCCAACCAGGGCGATGCGCTCTCCCGTGTAGGTATCAGCGTGGCGCAGCCTCAGGGGGAAGGATGCTACCGTGCCCTCTTGGACGCCGACGACGGTCTGGGGGAGCGTCTCCGGGTTGGTGGACACGTGCTGCATTCTCCAGGAGAACTCGTCGGCCTGTCCCTCTTCCAGGCTGTGCAGGTAGGCGAGGTCGGTTGGGCTGAGTCGGAATGCGGCGTTGACCATGGCAAGGAAGTCCTTGGTGGGCAGCTTCTTCAGGATGGCAGCCTTCTCCGGGGTGGTTGACCAGACCATTGATGCGTGGTTGCCAGGGAGAGGAAGCATCGCCACGGGTCCGGTGGGGAGGAAGCGCTGGTAGGCAATCTTGGTGTACTCGCCTCCCCAGCCATCGCCCTCGAGCTGGAGCGTGGCTACGACACCGTGTCTTTCGTAGTCCCAGCCGGTCGTCTTGATGCCGGCAAAGGTCCGGACGGGGCTGTTCACACCATCGGCGCCCACCAGCAGGCGCGCAGCGAGGGATTGGCCGCCAGAGAGCTGGACAACGGGCCATTCGCTCAGGTCCACGTCCTCCGTCTCCTTGCCATAATCGATGCTCTCAACCTTGGAGTTATCGAATGTGTCGACCCCACCGAGCTCCTTGAGCCTCTTGAGAAGACCAGATGTGATGTTCAAGTTCTCAATCATGTAAGCGATGTTCTTGGACGCAGAGCCTCCCTGCCAGTCAAATTCGATACGTGCTCCAGTAACACCATCCCACACCTGCATTTCCTGGTACTCCTGGATACGGCTCCGCTGCATGTGCGACCATGCGCCTATAGAGTTGAGGAACTGGGCCGAGGCTGGTGTGAGGGAGCTGCAGCGGTTGGAGAATTGGGTTGGCGGCAGAGAGAAGGCGGCCGTCTTCGCAAGGTCCTGGGCCTCGACGAGGGCGACACGGAGACCAGATGTGATTGGGTTGGAGCCTATGGAGAAGAGTCAGCATGAGTCAAATAAACAAGCAATTCGAATATGTAGGAAGGCTCACGGAGAGCTGTCAAGAGACTGAGCCCTGCAGGGCCTCCGCCAACGCAAACCACATCGTAGATTTCCTGAGGCCGTGTGCTGTAGCTTCGTCTCAATGCGTTGGGGACCTGGCGGCGAGAACAGAGTCGGCATACGGTGGGGGTCTTCCCCAGCAATGCCCGGCCAGCCGACATGATCAATTGATCCCAACCGGAGGGTCGGAACTTGCAAATAATTTCGAAGGAAGGCTGGCGCTGAACTTGGGTGATTTACAATGGACTGATTTTGGTCGCTGGAGTGCAAGCACTGAGCTCATACCTAGGTGTGGCGGCAGGAGCTGTGGCTGATCCATCCCCTCCACATGTGGCGCGGCTTTGGTTCGTCCCGCGGCAGGAAGAAACAGGGAAGTGGGAAGCTAATAGTGGGGGTGGCCAAGACCCATCTGGACCCACAGTTTTCTTTGCGCGCAAAGAGCAGGGAAGTTCCAGTTGCCACAGAGACAGAGAACAAAGAAGCCATTGCGTCAAGGGTCTGCCCAAACAACAACTGGCCTTATACCACCACATTTTTATGATATTCGCGACCCCTCTCCGAGATAAACTTCCTCTCTGCATTGCGCTCCCCCCCACGACGCTTCTGCACGCGTGTGGCCCAGATCCTGCGACCCTTCAAGCGACCACGGCGTATGTTTAGAATCACCTAGCCTCACTCAGCCTAGGGAATTTCGGCATTCCGCTGCCTGTGTTCGTTGTCACCGGAAGCGCCATCGTCGTCTCCCCGGAAGTCGCATTGGCATCCATCTACGATCGCGTTCTCATCCACGGTCCTTGTGGTTATAACACCAAACTATAGCCACAATGTCCGATGTGGAGGATTACCTCCAGGAGGGGTTTGACCCCCGCGCAGTGACCGTGCCACGCCTTCGATCCATCCTGGTCACACACAATATTCAGTTTGGAAATGCGAAGAAGCCGCAGCTCGTTGCGCTCGTTGAAGAGCACATCATGCCAGCCGTCCCCAGGCTGCGGGAGCAACGAGCCAGGGCCAAGCGCTCGAGCATGGGCATCGTTAATGCTGGTAGTGCTGAGGACAACCCTGCCTGGGATGAAAACGACCTGGCGCCCCCGCCATCAGCCAGGCGATCCAAATCGCCGCGAAAGTCATCAACAAGGGCGTCGTCGTCTAGGATAAAATCGGAGGAGGTGGAGGATACCCCTGTGCAGCACAGAAGTCCGACAAAACGGGCATCTCGGTCTGTCAGTCGAGCGCTCTCTCATGCTGAAGAAACCCCAGAGTATGAGGCGCCACGATCTGTGCGCCGCAACCGGAGAACCGTCACCCCTCAGATCAAGTCCGAACCGGACGACGATATGCCATCTCTGCAGGAGGATAGTGTCTTCACTGATGACAATCCATTCCAGGGGAAAAGTTCACCTTCGCAGCCCAAGACCCCAGGAAGCAGGCGGCGTACGAGTGACTTCAAGTCAAATCGCAGTTCACTCGAAGGCTCAGTGCGACGTCGAACAGGCGAATACGAAGACGTCAAGCCCTTAGTCGTACCCAAGACTCGTCGCCAGTTTAGTCCACAGTATGATGATGATGACGACGACGACGAGGATGAGGATGTCTTAGAGCCAGGAGAAGAATTCACACCTGATGCGCAACTAGAACTAGAGGAGGCCGCGCATAAGGGCGAGATCTTGTTGCCGGTTCGCAATGCCAGTCGCAGTCCTTCACGGAGTTTCAGTCTCTCAACCCCTATTTTCACACTTTTGTTGGTTCTGCTTGGATCATATGGTGTCTGGTATAGGCAGGAGAAAATCGCTGTTGGATACTGTGGCCTCGGGAGACCAGCCAACGAGCTCTTACCACCAGAGGTGCCGGTCCCAACCTTTCTGATACCGTTTGTAGAGCCTCAGTGTGAGCAGTGCCCCGCACATGCTTACTGCTACGGGGACTTTGAGGCCCGTTGTGAGCCTGATTTCGTGCTCCAGCCACACCCTCTGGCTCTTGGTGGTCTCGTTCCATTGCCCCCTTCTTGTGAGCCCGACGGCGAGAAAGCTCGTCGGGTTCATGCGGTCGCTGATAAGGCCGTCGAGGAGCTCCGTGAGCGCCGCGCCCAGTATGAATGTGGCGAGCTGGTTGATGAAGAAGGCAACCGACAAGACTCCCCATCGATGCTTGAGGAAGATCTCAAGGAAACAGTCAGCCGCAAAAGAAGCAAGAGGCTGAATAGCGCAGAATTTGAGGATCTTTGGGCTGCTGCCCTCGGCGAAGTTACTTCTCGGGAGGAGATTGAGGTCGAGGCCGTACAGTAAGTTATTCTCTATTTCCAGCCCATGCCATACCACAGAATCATTGCTACCCCCTCCCCTATTTCGAAGTACTATTTCTTATCCAAACCGTCTCTGACATATGAACTAACCAGATCCGCCGTTCAACCTACAGAGCGTCCAGTCCCACCGGCATTCCAAACCGCAGAATCTCGTCCACCTCTCTCGCTCGCATTCCACTCACCTGTGCGATCAAGCGCTCCATCCGGCTCGGATTGGAAAAACATCGATTCACAATTGGACTTTTAATTTCCTTTGTTACGTTTATCTTATACTTACGGTATCGCTACCGCAAACATGTTACAACATCGGCTCAAATCCCTGCGTTAGTAGACCACGTTCTGGCACGTCTAGCAAACCAAAAAGAACTAGGCGATGAGGAGATCGATGACCCATGGCTTTTCATGCCTAATCTCAGAGATGATGTTCTTAGAGCAGTCCATTCACTGTCAGAACGAGAGAGGATCTGGCAACGGGTGAAGGCTGTTGTCGATCAGAACAGCAATGTCCGCACGTCCCAGCGCGAAGGCAGAAGCGGCGAAGTTGGCCGGGCCTGGGAATGGATTGGCCCCACCGCTGGCGAAGGAGCCCGGCGCCGGCGAAGCGGCAGGGTTTCGTGGATTTCGGACACGAAGACGGACTCCCCTGAGCCCTCAAAGCAAGTCCCTGAAGTGAAGAAATGGGAAGAGGCCAGACCAATCTATTAACGCTGGTGGAAAGCCGCAAATTACTAATCACGCTTCACCATGATCGCTTATTATATCTATCATTCTTTTTTTTTCTTGTGTATTTTTGTTTTGAACACATTGGCCGTGGCTGCTTCGGCCTGGCGGAAGTGCTCCCCTCAATCAGGGGCTAGCACACAAAGGTTGGGGCGTTTTTGGTGGTGGCTTATACTCACTTGTGTATCTTATTGTTATGAATCCGAACATACAAATTGGGCGATATAAAGCTCTCACAATGGATGTTGATGTTTTGATTGCTTCGATGACAAGTCCATGACTAGCCAGCCCTGGCTTACTCCATCCACCAACTACCATGACCATTGCGAATTTCGCTGAAAGATCACCTAACGACATAGTTCTCTCTATCGTTGCGTCCGGAGCTCCTTATTTACCACCTATTTGTTGTCGCTAATGGAAGTCGTAGCTCTTAGTTAAACCTCGTAAGAACACGTCACCAAAATAACAATCACATCAAGATTACATATAAATGCTACAGAATTAGATCCGACGACTGTCTTTGATTTAATTGGCTAATGCACAGGTGTATATAGACACAGGGGGACAAAGGAAATCCGGGGTGTTGATTTCATTTTTCATTTCTCGCAGACGCGGACAGCTTATTGGGTCTTGGAGGCCACAATCTCTGTTGGAGATGAATTAGCATCAAAGCTTTTCTTGATCAGATCATTTGGGGAGTGTGTGGGATGTCAACGTACTCTCAACATCAGCAACACTCTGCTGGAGGATCTGCTGGAGAACCTTGGGGTTCTCGAGCTCCTTCTGGACCTTGGCGATGATGGACTCGGCAAGCTCCTTCTGCTGGCGCTGCTTGACCTGGCCCTCGTAGCGTACCCAGGAGTCGAGGACAGCCTTGGCCTCAGCGGCGATGGCGGTCTTCTGCTCGAGCTCGAAAGCCTCGGCCTCGAGCTTGGCAGTCTCCTATAGAAACCGTCAGTATTCCATCCAACTCATCCCAATACCATCGATTCCATCCGCTTCATGTGCTGACCTTGGAAACCTCGAAGAGAGTCTTGGTGATGTCGACGACGCCGCTCATCTGCTGGACGTCCTCGATGCGGGTCTTGACGGCCTCGGTGTGGTCGGCACGGGCGCTGTTGAGGATGTTCTTGATCTTCTGGTTCTGAGCCTCAGCCCAGGCAGCGTATCCGGGTCCACCGTACTTGATGAGGCCACCCCAGACGGACAGAAGGCAGAAGGCGATGACGGTTTCCTCGTTCATGACATAGTACTCGCTGGAGAGGGCGTAGATGCTGAGACCGGCAGAGGCGCTGAGGATGGCGGACTTGCTCAGCAGGCTGTTGCCGGGGATGGCGTCGATGATGCTCTGGGCCTTCTTCTTGGGCTCCTCGGCGGGCACATTGCTGTTGTAGCGGACAGCGGCGGCCGAGACGGCAGGGAGGGCGCGGCGGCCGATGACGGGTCGGAGGAGGGGAGCTGCGCCTGTTTGTCCGGGAGGGGAGGAGGGTCAGTACGGGGTCAATTGAGGCCAGAAATCACCGATTCGCATCGTGTGCACGTACCGGCAGCGCTTCGCGCCAATCGTGAGGCCATTGTGCGTTGAGGTTTAATGGGGTATCGGGGGCTTGACGTTGCTCGGGAGCTGGGAATGAGGATTGAGGTTTTATCGCGCTAGCTCGGCAACATCAACAAGTCACGTGCAAGGCCCGTCAAGCTGTTCTCCACCTCCAGTTATCGTGATTTAACCGTCTTTCAGCCGTTTATCGGTCTCCAGAGCCGGGGCCTGTTCGCTCCGATTGGCTCGATTTTCGAGATTGATTGAAAGATTTCTGGGGGACCTTGGAAAATTTATGTTGATGATATGATATCCTACCCAATTCTTGAACATAGTTGCATCAGGAACGTCTATTTTGATTTATTTTGTTAATTCCATTGGTCGGACAAGCTTCACATTGAGATTATCTGAACAGGAAAAAAAATACCTGCCAAATATGGCACCCAAGGCCAAAGATGCCGTTGCGAAACCAAAGCGCAAGAGAGCTTCCGATAGTGAGAAGCCAATGAAGCGTCGTCGCTCATCCAGCCAAGAGGACGAGAGCCCCGGTGATAAAATCCTCTTGATGGAGCAAGGTATCTTGGAGTCCAAGAAGAACTACAACAACATTCCAATCTTACTGCAGACCATGGACGGCTACAAGGATGGCAGCGAAGAATCTGTCCTGGCGTCCGTCGCGCTGTGCCGTGTCTTCATGCGCCTCCTCGCCCAAGGCGCATTCATCTCCAAAAAGGGGTTGTCAGAAAAAGATTCTGTCGTTCTGGCGTGGCTCAAAGACCAACTTAGTCTGTACAAGACCACCCTTCTGGCCATCCTTGCTACGGAGGAGGAGCTTTCTGCCACGGCGCTCACTCTATCTATGAGGCTGCTCAAGGCGGAGGGAGAATTTCTCTATAATAAGGAAGAGTACACCTTCCCCACAAACTTCCTTCAGAGCATTATTGTGGCTTTGCTTCAGACAGACAATGATGAAGTAAGAGGAGCCTTCATGCAGGAGTACGCAGAAGGATATGATGATATCCGTTATTATACATTCAAATTAATCAAGTAAGTTGTGTCTGCGTTCCAATGGGTACATCTGAACTGACTTGGAAATTCAGGTCTGCGATAGAGGGTTCGGTGGATGTTGTCTCTGAAGCCGAGGTCTTCGATCACGCTCTAAGCATGTTATCCGCGCTTGATGGGGTTCCCGAGTCGGCAGAAGAGCTCGAGGACTTTTACGTGCCGGCCCCCAAGAAGAAGAACCACAACCTGCGCTCTGTCACGCAGCATAAGAGGCAGGGTCAGGAAGCATGGCTTGCTCTCACGGGCATTGCGAAAAGCAAGGAGCAGCGAAAGAGCATTCTTAACATCATGTCCACGGTCATCGCTCCCTGGTTCACAAAACCCGAGTTGCTGGCAGATTTCCTAACACACTCATACGATACCGGAGGTTCCATGTCGCTGCTTGCTCTGTCAGGTGTATTCTATCTGATCCAGGAACGCAACCTCGACTACCCGTCCTTCTACCACAAACTCTACTCTCTGCTTGACAGGACCATATTGCACTCAAAGCATCGATCAAGATTCTTTCGTCTTCTAGACACCTTCCTTGGATCAACCCATCTTCCCGCTGCCTTGGTGGCTAGTTTCATCAAGAGGCTCTCACGGCTCTCTCTGAATGCGCCGCCCAGTGCAGTAGTGTTTGTCATTCCTTGGATATACAATCAGCTCAGGAGGCATCCTACGTGCACACTTATGATTCACCGAGAAAACAAGGATCCGTCGATCAAGAAGCTCATCCAAAACAATGGCGTCGAGGACCCTTTCCTTCCAGACGAGACGGACCCCATGGAGACGGGGGCCATCGACAGCTCATTGTGGGAAATTGAGCAACTCCAGTCACACTATCATCCAAACGTAGCTACCATTGCTAAGATCATCTCGGACCAGTTCACAAAGCAGTCCTACAACATGGAAGACTTCTTGGATCACTCCTATGCCACGGTATGCTCTCCCCTCTCACCATTACTGCCTTAGCGCATCGCTGTTCGTACTAACCTGTCACAGCTACTGGAGGCAGAGATGACCAAAAACGTGAGGAAGGCACCGGTGGTCGAGTTCCATATCCCGAAGAGGGTTTTCTTACCACAGGATGAACCAACGATCAACCCTGACAGCTTGCTTGTGAAACTATGGAGCTTCCAGTGATGTTCTAACGAGTGCGATGGTGGTGGTGAAGGTGGCGGAGAAGGAGATGGTTTGTTGTAATACGAGACCACTTCAGATACGTCGGGCTGCTTTGATTAGAGCTTTATTTGCATGAGGCAAGGAGTATAGTCATTTTCATAATTCGATTTTTTCTCTTGAAATCTTTACTGTCAGAAGGTTGCCCTGTGTGATAAGCAATCGGCTTAAACAAAGTTGGTGTTGGGTCAGGTACTAGGTAGTTTGCTATGTTTGAAGGTTTACTATGACTAGAACATGTTCCGATTCTCTCAATTGCCTGGGTCTTCCCTGGCCATTTACCTTTGGTTATGGTTGTTGTGTGGAACGGAGTATGACCAACCAGCACGTCGCTCCAGTCCTCTTCCTCTTCCTCCCATATAACAAGCTCTTCGCTAATTACCCCCGGGAGGAGCTTTGGTGTCATCCCCTGCCCAACGCATCGGCGATAGGCAAAACTTTGCCCTGCGTTCAATATTCTCGATCCCGCAACGGGTCAGTTCGGTAAGTCGTTGGACCCAAAAGCTCCAGCGCTGAGGGCTATATCCAGTAGGAGGGAAATCGGTGATCGTACCAAATTGGAGGGCTAGTTCACCGAGGCTAAATAGGTGCGAGTAGTCGACGGGGTTAGTCTTGATAGTTCTTGCAGTAGACTCTGATGTTTAGCTGCCACTCAAGAGCGCAAGGCCAAATCTAGAGTTTTGGCATAAGTCTGTGAGAGCATCTAGCAAGTCTTCTACTGGTAAGAGTACCTTAGAAGAGTTTTCTTTGCGATTTACATCTGCGACTAGCGGCCGTGGGGTCTCCATTGTCTCACGGAATAATGATAGTGCACATAGAGCAGGACCATGATAGAAACCAGCAGCTAAGAGCCGTGCGATAAGACCTTCCATATTTTGTCGCTACTCTGTGCTGTAGATCGCCGGGGTTCTTGCAGGAGTCATTGTCGGCATCCTCTTCCGTTGGTGTTGAGCGTTGCAGGAGCCCAAGAGTTCTGATAGTCACAAGTTCACTTACGACGAGATCTTGATGAAACTCATGGGTGGTGATGTGCTTGCCTGCTTGAATGAGGGTATACCAAGTGTCTTGGGTGTGTTTACTAAGATAGTCCTCTGACCGGCTGCAGTGTAGGTACTGGTATGTGATTGCAGTGAGGGAAGAATTGATGGTGCGGCCGAGCGTTTCTTGGTTGCCCCTCTAAATAACACCGTTCAATTAGACCCCTCTGTAATGCGGACCATTTTTCAGTATAATCCATCTTTGGATCTGATAGAAGGAAAATGTATGTTTCAGCCGACAGTTGAGATAAGAGATAAAAAAGATGGACGCCTGAAGTGCCCGCTTGCACATCTATGAACTGTTGGTCGCGGGGGTGACCATTTTGAATTGCCTCGAGGGACCTCAGATAGAGGAACACAAGGCAACTACACCCCTTGACTTTGCGGCTAGCTGCCCCTGTCACCTTGTTCCTCACCCGCATGAACTGTTGGTGGCTGATACTACGTACGCATGACTGCATACTTTTGTTGGTGATATTCGTCAATCCTGCGATGGAAGGTAATCCCACGCTTGCGTTCTGCTTTTTTTAGGCATCTACATGCGCGGATATACTTTTTGTTACTTTAAAAAAAAACAATAGACTCATCAATAGGGCTATGCCAACATTGCATTCTTATTCAGTAGGCAGTCTGCCTACTTGGCGTTCCTATGAAAAGTCATGACTGAGAAGATTTGTGGGGTGCGGGTGATCGTAATTGAGTCGACATGGAAAGAAAAGAAGGGATTGGACTCATACGCAGATAAATCTACCGTCAGCTCGTTTCCCTGCCACCACCGTAGTCAACACCAATACTAAGTAGATAACGTACAATTATCGTTGGGCCGTATGTGGTTGTATTGATAGGGCTCGTTGTGGCAGCGAATAACCTTGCTGTCAGTGATTTCCCTCGCCGCCATCCTGACCAACACAGATACCAATTTGGGAGGACATCAGCCGTGATGCTTGTTGGGCCTCGTTTCGGCGGCTAAGTGGATTATTGTCAACATGGGTCTACCAACCAACAACCACATGCAGGCCCTCTTCCTTCTGCACCAGTCCTCCATCCATCGCCGGGATGGTGATGACACTGTTGGCTCGAAGATGCGTGCAGTGATTCTAATTAAATACATCAAACAACCATGCGTAAAGAAGACATATAAGGCGCGAATCTACACCCCATTCACCGACGCTTCTACTCCGTTCCACACAACAACCATACCTAAAGGCAAATTCAAAAGAACTCCTCTCTTTCCCTCTGAAAATGAAGTATAGCATTTTCATCCTTGCCACTGGCCTCGGACTTGCCAGTTCCACAACCTTACGATCTGCTACGGATCCCATACTATCTGCTACGGATCCCAATACGGGAACCCAGAAAGGTGTAGGTTATATTATTATCTTCCATTTGTTGTGTCTTCACACCGGCCACGCCTAGCTGGTCTATGATCCACCAGAACGCTCGTTAATTTACTAACACATAGCGTCCAGAACTGCAAAGTTAAAACGAATCAATGTGTTGTTCCAGGCTATAAACTTCATGGAACCAATACACAAATTTGGGTAATGGCGACGGTTGAACGAGAATGCGGTTCGAATTTCAAAGTAAGCAATTAATGCACCGGCAAATTGACACTAAAAATCCCTTTCTAACTTGAAGACTTAGTGTACAATAGATCAAGGCGGTTGTTCTGTTGACTTTGACGCCAAACAGGCCTTTTGTTCAGTTGAGGGTAAAAATCCTTCATTCGGGACGCAGTCCAACAAGTCACCCAAGCCCAAGCAACCAGCCAAACCCAAGCAGCCAGCCAAGCCCAAGCAGCTAGCTAAGCCTAAGCAGCTAGCTAAGCCCAAGCAGCTAGCTAAGCCTAAGCAACCAGCCAAGCCCAAGCAACCAGCCAAGCCCGCGCCCAGGAAAGTTCGACGCAACCTACGCACTAGGAGAAGCGTTGGTAGACATTAAGGAACCTTGCAGGGTTGAGGGGTTGCGGAGTATAAGTTGGGTGCTTGGAGTGTTTAGATGGATTGAAGAGGATGTAACTATAGTATCTAGGTGGCATTTATTTGTTTTTTTTTCTTTTACCACAACCAAGAGAAACTCTAGGTTCAGGCCACAGGTGATTAGCATCACAACTAAAGTTTCCTTAACGCTACCCTTACTATATTAATAGTTATTTCTGCATGGCTGATAGCGAGAGTTCCATACCCCAAAGAGCATTTTCTTATCACAGGATAAAGTAGCACCTAATTCCGACAGCCTGCTTGTGAAACTGTAGAGCTTTCAGTGATATGTCAGTTAGTTAGGTTGTACAGTGTGACCTCTCATATACGTGACACCTGATTGGGTGAGAGAAGAAATGTGACACTAAATTGATCATTTGCTACAATGGGAAACAAAATAATTGATACATGGGTAAACATGGACAATACGAATATTCAGGACGAATATTTTTTCGTGGGATTCAAACATAGCCTATCGTACGCTCAGCGATTCATGGACAACTGCCAATATGAACACAAGGAGTACTGGGCAGCGTATATTGACGATATAATAATCTTCCGCGATATACCCCTAAAGAGTATATTAGTTATATCCAGAAAGCACTAAAGACATTGATGGCATTAAACTGGCAGATTGGCCAACGAAATTCTTCTGTGGATACCCATCCATCTCACTATTCGGCTTTAAAGTCGATGCACTTGGGCTACCACTCACATTGGATAGAACGGAAGCTCTGTCTAAATTGGAAATGCCACACTGGGAGCGTTGGAGTCATACCTCAGCATGGCAACTTTCCTCCGTTGTTTCATCTCCTTCTTCCAACAGAAAGCGGCGCCTCTGGAAACATATCATAGGTAGGTTCTAGTTCTGAAAGTGTAGTAAGACTAGACTTTGGTGTCTCGTTTCTTCTGCCACTCGGATGAATGGTTCTTACTCCGCATCTATGTAGTACGTTGTTTGTGCAATGAACCTTCCGCTTCTTGGCAAGTGCACATTCTTAGCTTGGAGAAAAGCGGCTCTATCACGCACCAAAGCGGGATGTAGATGTGAATGAAAATTTTGATTTGACGAAGGTGGTAATCTGTCGCGTGCGTTCGGATGGATTACCAACAGCTTGGCTCTGGGAGACGACACTCGGAGAAAACAGCCCGGTATCTGGGTAACATCGTCGATCACGTTGCATGGCATTTCCACAAAACACCACGCAGTAAGAATGATGCGGTTTGCTAGGCGCAGGAGCCTGCAGTAGTGGCAAACTCCATCGGTGTAGGAAGTGCCCACCTCTCGTCTCGAGCCATGCATTCCACGCGGACATCTAGACGGCATGCATCCATTTACCACATGCTCCTCGGCTGCGCAAAAAAGCGCAGCTGTCAGTCGAGCTGGACCAGTATTGGTCACATGTGCCGGGTAAGTCTCACTGTGCCAGCAAGGTCGGAGGGAGCCGCCAGTCTAGGTGAAACAGACCTGTCCAGGGTCCAGAGATCACAGGTAGCTGCTGTTGATAGCGCACTATCGCATCGTCTCGATAAGCTTAGCTGTTTCCCCAGTCGACGTGGCCCTGCAAGCGACTAGCATAAATCATGGCACTCTAGCGTTGAATCTGAACACAATATCACCACAATCAACCTGGTATTAAACACAGTGGTAAGCTAAATATTGTAGAATGATTTGTTATTTTCTTATTATTGTGCTTACCTGGTTTATTGTAGCAGTATTAACAAGAAAATCAGGTCCCTACCTTACATATGTGAAAAGGGTTCGATTGCCCGGTCCTAGTAAGTCTGATACCAACTAGGATAGTAGGTTGGAGCTAAGATCACATCACTGACATCATTCACTGGCAGACTTCAGCAGCAACAGAGGTGGAGAGACCGAACGCGACGCTAATCGACCCCAGCCTCCAACTCTCAAACATCAATTTGATCACCCGCCAGCAGAAAAGTGAGGTGTTGACTGCCCATTGGTACAGCGCAATACTTTCTTCTTCTTCCCCCCCGCCGATCGCCCGCCTTGTCTTGGTCAAAGATTCTGATCTAGGCTTCCATGCCTGATGAGCTTCATGCCCAAATCCAAGGCGCCAACTGGCGCATCGGGACCCGCCATGCCATCTGCCGCGCAATCCAGCAACGCCCATCCAGGACAGGCACAGGCACAGGCACAGGCACCCGGCCACGGTCAGACCCAGGATCAGCAGCAGCAGCGCCCGCCCGGGAAGAAGCGGAGGAATCACCGAGGTGGGAGGAAGAAGCGCCAGCGGAGGAGGAGTTTTGCTATTCTCGACGATGACTCCAACCACAGCGACGCAGACGAACCTCCGCGTGACGGACTATACCAGATCCGCTCTGCCAACTTGAGTGGGACTAGCATTGACAGCCAGGCCCTGCTTGACCATAGGTGCGTATCTACATCATATGAGACTCCATAATAGTGGTTGCCCGCCTTCCTCTTGCTGACCGACCTGCGCCCATATAGAGAACACCAGCCTATGCGACTGAGGAGGGCCTCTACCGTTGGTCCCGCACTCTCCTCTGGCACTCTACCAAGTCCCCTCACAACCACACCAGGAGGGAGTCGAAGACGAACATTACCAAACCTAAATTATAGTGATGATGAGGATCCTATGAACCACTGGGACGAACGTACTCCGTTGATCGCGGAACCCGCGCGACGAAAGGACTCATACACCGGGGCCTCGAGCTATGGCGCTGGATTCTCAACCTCCAGCAGACCGCGGAGTCGTGAGGCCTCCAGCATATCTTCAAATGCAAGGCGAGGCGCAGCTGCATTCGGAGCCAGGGACCGCTATCACCATGTCAACAACCCGCCTTCCATCCCAGGATCGCCCAACTTCGGAGCAATCGATCGTATTGATATGACCCTTGGCGATGTCATGATCAGGGATGAGATCGATCTCCATGATAGTCCTGGGCACCTAAGTCAAGACGATGATGGCATTACCGGTGGAGCCGCGCTTCGGGACAACAGGGCCGAGAAGGACGTGTGCTTCCCTGTGTCGGGCATGTCAGAGAATGGCGACGATGATGTACAACAGCGAGATTTCGGACTCCTACCTAGGACACGGCGGCGTCGCGGTAAATGGCCCGATCTGTCAATCCTCGAAGAGTGGAAGCAGATGGAGAAGGAGGATAGAAGTGAGGAACGCCGTGTTAAGAGGATCACGGAACCCCAGCTCATCAATGGACGCCTGCGCCCAGTGCGCAAGGGTTGGTTCGAAACCGAGGGAGACAGCCCCTATCGATTTACCTACTTCAACGAAGAGTTCCAGAGTACGATCCACAGCCAGACCATCTCGGAGCTCGTACAGCCCGGGAGCGGATTTGAACAGTTATTCATCCCTGAACCAAGGATATTGTCCGACGGCGAAAGCAGTGATGAGGAGGAGGAGGCTCTGATGCCCGCCAAGCTGCACCGTCCTAGTGGAGGTGTAGATGGTGATTCCAAGATCCCCACCCGACAGCCATCAGTAGCGGACAGCCGCCGCGAGCAAGTGGTTTCTCCTCAGCAGGACATTCCCTCCGGGAGCTCTGGTCGTGTCTCGCCAACTAATCCAAAGTCGCTCGACGAAACCGCCGGGAGAGGTTCACGACATGGATCTCAGCAAACGTCTTACGAGTCTTCCCGGATGCCTTCTCTACAGCCGTCCCAGGAACCTACCCAAGAGCCTTCTCAACAGTCATCTGTAGATCCAGAGCCCAAGCCGAAGCAAATTCGGTACGGTGAGCGCCCAGTATGGTGGCTTAATGTGCTCTGTCCAACCGAGGCTGAGATGAAGGTTATTTCAAAGGCTTTTGGTATCCATCCGCTTACAGCCGAAGATATCATGCTACAAGAAGCCAGAGAGAAGGTCGAGTTGTTCCGGCACTACTATTTCGTCAACTATCGCACCTTTGATCAGGACATCAACAGCGAAAACTATCTAGAGCCTGTGAACATGTACGTAGTCGTGTTCCGGGAGGGCGTGCTCAGTTTCCACTTTTCGGTCTCACCCCATCCTGCCAATGTGCGACGCCGTATTCGACAACTTCGGGATTATCTGATACTCTCATCAGACTGGATTTCATACGCCATCATCGACGATATCACAGACGTCTTCCAGCCTCTAATCCAAAACATCGAAGACGAAGTGGACGAGATCGACGAGGTCATTCTCCGGGTGCACTCTGCCACGGACAAGCGGCAGCACGATGAGAAGAGAAGAGACGACGCCTCTACCGTCGCCGAGTCGACAGGAGACATGCTTCGGCGTGTAGGCGACTGCCGCAAACGAGTCATGAGCCTGTACCGTCTTTTGGGAAACAAGGCGGATGTTATCAAGGGATTTGCCAAGCGATGCAATGAGCGCTGGGAAGTTGCGCCCCGGTCGGAAATTGGACTCTACCTTGGCGATATCCAGGATCACATCGTAACCATGACCTCGAATTTGGGGCACTATGAAAAGTATGTAGCACCCAACCTCACCACCTACATTTCTGCATTATGTATATACTGACTCTGCTTCTTTTTCAGAATACTGGCTCGTTCCCATGCCAATTATCTCGCGCAGATCAATATTCGCATGAACGAACGCCAAGAGCAGACCGCAGATGTTCTCGGCAAGCTCACCGTCCTAGGCACAATCGTCCTCCCGATGAACATCATCACCGGTCTCTGGGGCATGAACGTCTGGGTTCCTGGCCAGGAATACGAAGGCAGCTTGACTTGGTTCGTCTGCATCACGGCAGGGCTGTTTATATTTGGAATCGGATGCTACATGATCGCCAAAAGGGTTTACAAGATTGTCTGAGTCTAGACAATTGATAAACAAACTTGAAAGATGATAAAATACACATTCACAAAAAAAAAGGAGGGAAAGGAAAGACAAAAACATAATCGCCACCGGGCATATTACACGATTGGCATACCATCATAGCTCGGCTGTGCTCATTTTAAGGCGTTTT